TGATCAACAGTCTAAATACTTTAGGCTAGTCGCCTGATTCAATCTGAGATTAAGGGACCCTACTCAGGCTTAGCCATGGTGTCTCAGCCCACCGACCCAGCGGAAAGGAGGAACGGACCGGGTTGAGCACCAAACAAAAGCGCTGCAGGATTCTTCTGAAAAGGTGTGGTGGCATGTCTCAACATATTTCGGACTCCGGCATTGACCTGCCAGAGGCCATGGGTGGGAATTTCGTACACATCGTTTGATCATGTACATGTATCATGACTATACGTAACAACCCCCTGCATACCTGGCACACATGGACGGACTCCCCGTTCCCCCCCCCCACCTCCTTCTCAAAGTCTCGGAACCACCCTTCTCACACCGCCGGCGGCGCAGCAAAGGCCGTGGGCCGCAGCGTGTGCGCGTCGCGCAGGAGGCCGTCGCCCAAGCGACCGGAGAAGGCACCGATGCGGCCGCCCTGCAGGAGGACCTGCGGGTTGGAAGAATCGTCGCAGTCCGGCCGAACAGCGGTCCATGCGGTAGCAGCTCGGGCTGCGGGTTGGAAGAGGGAAACAGGGATGGTGGAGGTTTTGGGGGGCCTTGAACAAGCCAACGGCTGTCCGAATTGCCAAAGTGTGGTGGTGATTCTCTGCCAGTCCAAGAGGGTACAAGTGTCCCACAAAATGGGAGAGGAGAGGGAACACTCGGGAAGTTAAGATATGTAGTTCTGCAAATGTTGATTCACTCTTTTCGTCTCGTCTTGGAAAGATTGACAACAAGTAGTGGCTCGACAAGTGGCTCGACAACGTTGTTGAAATCGTCTCGTAAAACAGCTCCCATTGAAACTATCTCTTTGAAATCACCTCTCCACCTCTTAAAACAGACCTAACTGCTCCCAACTCCTTCAGCAACCCTGACCTGGTGGCTTTGGCGGAAGGCCTCGTAGGCCTTGGGCACAGACACTCGTCGTGACAGCATGTGGCAGTCCGGTCGCAATGGGGTAACGGACGGAAGGTCAACCTACATGGTACCTGGTAGACCAAATAGAGTGCACAACCTACATGGTAGACCAAATAGAGTGCAGTACCAGGGAGGTCACCAGCATTTGGAGGTAGTTCTGATGGCCCAAAATGGGCCTATCAAAGCCAAGACACGGAAGGCGTCGACACGCGGGGATCTACGAACTTCTATCTATTTGTGGGTCTAGATATAGTAAAGTAATAGTAGATCTTAAAATCGCTCGTCCGCCAGTCCCTAGCGGACGGTTGCTGGCCCCCTGCAGGAAGGTCTCAATCCAGGACCAAAGTCACAGCTCAGGGCTTTTTCAAGAAGAGTGCATCGACTGCCACAGCGTACGAAACGAAATCTGACCAATTGGATATGGGACTGGCTCCACATGAACAAATAGAGTTTAACAAACCTCTTCTCTCCTTGACATGTGCGCTAACCAAAGATCAGCCAACAGACGGCAGATGTGTTCTCATCCGTTCCTGTGGCCATGTCCTTGCAAAAGGGAACGAAGCTTCGTTCCGGCCGGGAGATCCTCCACGAGAACCGCGGGAGATCCCACTAGAGACCGTCAGGGCGCCACCCAAACCCACTCCGAAATCCAACGCATCCCGAGCGCCAAAGACCAACGGCCCGGCCCGGTCAGAAAGCGAGGCGCGTACACCACCACCTCCACCGAGCACTGCACCGCGGCAGTGCCACCTGCACGTGCCAAGAATAGAGGGATAGAAAAGGAACAATGTCATGGGAGGAGGCCTTTTCAACAGCTAGGGGTTGGCTTGATGATATGCTACGTTTCATGCACTTTTCTTTAAAATCGGAAAGTGGACGTCAGCAAAACGATGCAGACAAGCTCCCAGCTCAATGACTTTCTGTGTTGACAAATCCTCAATGCAACCTCACTGACTTAACACTCAATACAGAACACCTCCCCAAAGGGACAAGAATGATATATAATTCCAGTGGTAGTTCCATCATCTGCCCGGTTCTGACTGATCCTCCTTGCTCTTTGTTTGGGGAAAGGCCGTGCGCCTTGGAACAGCATCTTCTCCGTCACTGGCACCAGCTTCGGCTTCCCGGTGCTCCCACTGGACGGCAGCAGCTTGAGGACGAAGCCCTCCTCCCGCCGCACCGCCGCCCCCAGCGGCGCCGCCGCGCCCCGCGCCAGCACCGCGCTCCACCGCTCCGAGCGCCAGGCTCCACCGCCGGGCGCGTCCGGAGCGGGCGCCAGGGCGACCGAGGCTGCGCGCCAGCGGCCGTAGGGGTCGGGAGCATCCTCGATCCAAATCACCCGCCGCAGGGGCGAAGGGATCAACCGTTGAGCTCCGAGAAGCACTGGCCGGAGGTGCTGGGAAAGGATCAAGACGGACATCTTGGTCTGCTCCAGGATTTGGGCCAAGGTCTTTTCATCCGTGCTGCGGTGCATGGTGACCAGTGGCAAACCAGCCAAGGTGCAGGCGAAGTCCGTCAGAAACCACTCCTCACCTCGACTGAACAGCGCCTTCCGCCTTTCTTCAAAAATACTGTTTGAACTGTCAAGCAAATTTGAATATTTTCACCTCCACCTCAGGTAGCAGAAACCCCCAGTAAAAGTTCAGGGTAAGAACACTATAAAATATATATGTATATATGTATTATATATATATATATTTATGATGGGTTTATCTAGTTATTTAGTATTTTGACATGCTTTCGCTTGTTTGGGAGGTGATCTGGAAGCAAACCAACCGTGCCCGGGCTCGGCCAGCCGCCCACGGCGCCGCCCACGACACAGAAAGCCCTCTACCACACCAGAGGGAAGAAGCTATTGAGGGTGGAAAGGAAAGGTGTGGTGCCAATCATCCCAAGTCGCTCACAGCGCTGAGGAGTCCCAAAATCACCGAAGGCCCCATGCCATCCACCACCTCTCGCAGGCCCTCTGCAAGCGCTCGCGAGGACATGCCCACCTCCTGGGCTAACCAGTTGGGGCTGGACCAACTAAGCGTGTTGCCCTAGGATTCCAACCACCATTAGTAGATGAAAAATCAAACAAAGAGTAAACCTATTGTCGGCCAAAGAAACACCACACACTCGGCCAACCTTTCTTTCTAATGGTCTTTGAAGACTATATAGGGCTAACATAGGGCTTCGCACAAACCCCGACACGGTGTTCTCAGGGCTTTGATGGAGGCACGTCATATGACATCAAACCACGCCTTGGAAGTCCAAGACCATTTGTAGAATGGTTGTTCCTGATTTTGTAGTGTAGGATCCTGAGTAACACAAGGGTTGTTCGGGTTCAGGCTATTTAAAACAATGGTGGTTCGACTTCTAGTGGCTTCAACTTCTTGGAAGGCTCGCTCTCCTGGACCTAGTCATCGACCTTCAACAGCTTCGAGCACCTGAAGAAGTCTACCACCGTGCAGGCGGGGAAACGACCACCGTTCCCCGCAACGGTGAAAACAATCATTCCCCGAAACCGCCCCGGACACGCAGCGACAACTGCCGTCTCCTCGTAGGAATGCCAGTTGCAATCCAGGCCCTCCGCCTCGAGCTTTTGTTGAGTACAACAAGGTCTTGAGGAGCCCCCAAAGCAACCCCGACGCTCTCCGTTCAAGAGATCTCACTTCCATCACATCGATCTAGCAAACTTCCCAAAAACTGCCAGGGAATTGTCGCCCTACCGCCCTGCCTCTGTTCTTCCTGGGCAGGTGCCCAAACACGGGCGCGTCCGGTAGACGTCGAAGGACGCCAACATCGAGTCCCCTACCGTGCGTGCGCAGGACAAGGCCGTGGAGGGAGGCACCGTCAGCGGCAGCACTTCGCAGTGCAGGTGATGCGGATGATCTTGCAGTGCAGTCAACAGAAAGTGACTTCAATGATATCAAATGATGTCGCAAACAAACACAGACAAAAAAACTGCTGCGAGTCTTGAGACCTATAATTCCACCCTGCCAGGCCTCTCCTGGAACCACATCGAAAACAGTAGAAGAACTGCTCACAGCTTCCGCATGTGTAGGCCACTTCCAGTGGCAGTAGGAGCCGATGGCACCGGTGGCAATTCCACAACCGGTGGCTCCTCAGAAGGGTGGCTTGGTGCGTTTTTTGTTGCTCCAGCTGCCCCAATGTTCATGTCATGTCGCAGCTTAGCAAGTAGTTTAAAAGGTACGCTACCTGCAAAACCCATATACGGCTTGAGGTGCTTAGTGATTGCCGTTTGCTTGTTTAATGTTAAGTTTAGTTGATATACTTGTTTGATGTACTACTTTGATCTGCTTTGCAACCTCTGCACGCCTCTCCTTTGAAAATGAAAGAGAAGAGACTTCCAGCCATAGTTCCTCATTGCCCAAATCCACGCCCACAGGCTATCGGAGCACATCATCCGCCAGCCCATCAGCACCAACGACACACCCAGTACAGCATACCGTCCGCGACATGCCGTAGTGCCACCAGAGCAAGGCTCCATGCAGCTTGAACCAGCGCCTTTGGCGCCTTTGGTTCTTTGTGGGACACCTTTGAAGGTTGCTAGCCTTCTTGGATGACTATGCTGTGACTACTGGCAGTAGGTGGTGGTGGCCAAACAAAGCACAAATTCGTCACATGTTCTGGGTTCTAGGCCTCTAAGCCATGGCCTATTGGGAGGCTGGAGGATGCCACATTATGGCACGAGTTGGTGCTTCCAAATGGTGCCGGCATCTTTTCTTCCATGAAAAGTGGGATTCTTACTGCCGGGTGCCAGTTCATCATGACCCCGTTCGGACCTCTTGCATGCACTGAGCCCGTCGAGAATCAACCAACAAGCCATGTCGACGGAGCATGGCAGAACTATCAGTGCCTCTGATCATGTTCCACCCACCCACCTGGTCCTTGATACCGACACACTCCTCAGGACCGAGCCGCCGCTTTGCGGTTCTGCTCGTGCTCTACTTGACCCGTTCTTCACATGGACCGATTCTGCAGGACATCAGGACCGATTCTTGAGTGGGATGCTGCAGCCCCATGGTGAAACGAGAGGACCCCCCCCCCGCCTCCGGCATATTCGGACAACGCCTCGCAGCGAATAGGCGACGAAGGTTGGAGAAGCTGAAGATGGTGGGCCCTCTTGAACAGCAACTTCATGTAGACTCTTGATTCAGAAGGCATCCCCCAAAAAAGGATTGGATTGAACCACCTTGCCCTTTGGGGTCTTTATCATTCAGCAAGAGTCAACATTCAAGCGGTCGTCTTCTCCAAAAACCAAAGGTCGCCGAGGACGGGTCGTGTGGACCCGCACCCTTCGGTGGGTCGAGGCGGTCACTCTCGGACGACGCCTCTTCAAGGAATGCAGGATGGAAAGCAACAACCAGCCAACCCAAGGGTAAGTGAGCGTGAATAGGACCCGTCACCGATAGTCGAACTGTCGGGTCCTTGAACCTCAGTTTAGAACAGGTTCGGGGGCCCAACTACATACCCAGTCATGCCCTGGTTGCACTGTTAGGTCGAGTCTAGCCGTGCATATTGGCCAAACGGGGGCGCCCTGCCTCGCCACGCGTGGTCGACCGGGTTGGATGGGCCGGTTCGGCGCCGAAGGGCGCCGAACCGGGGTAAGCCGGGAGGGGTCGTGAAGCGCCAAAGCGGAAGGGGGCGCCGAAGCGATTGGAGCTACACGAGTGGCCCGGACCGAGTGCTCTTGGCCAGAAGGACGGTGAGAATGAGAAGGGTGGAGCTGCTCCACAACCGTTGGTTCATAAGGGTCTTTGCAACAGAAGTTTGCTTTACTGAGTTTATACTACAAAGCCAGGTCAGCCATAGTTTAAAAGGTCTTTCAAGGCTGGGGTGTTAGTTGGAGTTTCCTAGTCAAACCTCGCCATTCACTGGCCAAGCCGCGCGATGGCCACAGTCTCCGGACCCAAAATCCGCGAGAGCAAGGAGCCGCCACCGCACCACTCCATCAGTAGCTGCACCTCGCCGTGCGCGAAAACCAAGAAACGTGAGTCTGGATCTGTCACCGGCATCTGCGTGGCCCAAAAGCAGTTGACATGTCCAACCCGGCCACCCGCCCGCCGTCGCCTCCGTCATGGCGTTGCCGCCTTTTTGGCACGCTAGTTCCTCGACTGCAACAGCGTCAGAAAGGAGGGAGGGAGAGAGAGAGAGAGAGAGATCAGGAGTAGGAAAAAAGGCTATGTAACAGATACAAGCACATAATGAACAAACACACACATTTACGTAACCTTTCGGCAACTATGCTACACAGTGCACAAACAACAAAAACACAGAAGGGAAGAACACAAAAAGGAACCAATGGACTGGACACCCAAAAAACATGGAGGAAGAAAAAAGCACTCCACAAGCTGGAGGAAACTAAATGGTCCGCAGTAATCACGGTTGCTAACGGCGATCACCGGATGCAACGACAATGACCGTGTTTTCGGCTGGCGGCCTTGTGAGAGAAGTACTGCACCAAGAACTCTCTCCCTGCATGTCTCCCCTGCCAGCCAAAACTTGGAGTGGCACACAAAACTCTCAGAGTCCACGCAACTTGCCCACAAAATCTGCAGTCTTGTACATTTCGGCCCAGGAGGCTGGGCACCCTTCCCCGTCACCAGTCCCAGCAGGTCGCCTCCGAGCTCGCACGCTTCAGGAGCTCCACCTCATTCCGCGCCAGGTCCAAACGCTCCTCATCCTGCGCCGAGAACGGACTCATGGCAGTTGGTCAGGGTGCATCAAGCTTCCGCATCTGACTGGGCATTGAACTGCAAACTCACACAGGTAGTGTTCAAAACGCAGGTCGACTCTCAGACATTGCATGCCCACACATCGGGCCACCTGCCCAGCAAGAACGCTCCATCACAGAACCTCCCCAACTCCCACGTAGGCAGCTGTACAAGGCCTAGCTCGCGCATACTCACCCCAAACAGCAACCCCGCACGTGCCCACCTGGCAAATGGTCTTTTTCAATGCCATTGTGGTAGGGAGCCGCTCATCATCAGGACCCCGGTCGGCCACCAAATGCACACGCCTTGCAGCAATTGTTGGCCGGTGTCCAGGGACCACTTTTGTGGACAATTCAGACGGGAACCTTACCCAAGCATGCAAAGTGTCAGTCATATATTATAAAACCAAGAAAGGCGCGTTGGGTTGATGTTGCTTGTTGGGTGCTCTATCTGCATCAATGGCTACTTCAAACGAAAAGAAGTCAACGGAATCCTCAAAGGTCAACCTGATGATTCGACCATTGGTGATTGCTCAACGCTTCACCTCCGGTCGAGTCATGCGTAATAGAGACTAACAGAGACTGGTCTCACAAAATGTTCGTGACCAAACCAGCGCCCATCTTACACCTCCGCCAAGGTGCCATATGGTGGAAAAGCCACCCTCACCAACTTGTCCTTGCTCACGGACTTGCAAGCCATCAACATCATGTTGCTGCGCCTTGGCACCCCACCGGCATGGTCAGCACCGTGTTGAAGAAACATCGAAAGCGAACACATCACCAGGAATCAATAAAAGGTATTTCAACATCCTGGGGCTGCGGCGTCAGCTGAAAAGGTTGTACAGTCTTTTACCGGTTACCGGGGCGTGAATGTGAACATGCCAAGTCCAAACCAGAATGCAATCAACACAGACATCATTTGGTTATTGCCTCAGCCTAGGCACCCTCAGCGCGGCACACCATGCGAACATGCCGATCCATGCGGTGGGACACCTGTCTCACCAGCCATTGCATCTGGGATACCGTGCCAACAAACATGTATGACGATTATGATTGACCTTGTCAAAAGCCATGGGGCAAGACTGCTTCTGCACTGCTATCCTTTGGAATGGGGATACTGGGCAGGGTTTGGTGTGAGCCCGCCATCGTTCTAATGGTTTAGAACACTGGTGTAAAACAAAGCCTGCAAACAAAAGGCAGTCGCTTCATTCATGGTTAAAGAGTGTCCGACTCACATGCTATGGCGACCAGAATTTCCAGGCCCCTACAAAGCCCATGCGGACAATTGTCTATTCACATTCAATCAAGCTTCGCTTTGTCAGCTTTCATTGCTTCGTCCACCATGCACGAGAGCCAGGAGTCAATGATACAGCCAATCTGCCAATTGCGGCGTTCAACCCACATTGTGAGCTGGACAGAGTTGGACAGCCTTGTCCTTCACAAGGTCGTTCATCCGTGGTTAAGCCAACAGCACCCAACCCCCTTTTGATCCGCCTGCATAATGCCTTTACGACTTCCAAACATGCATGTTCCTGTCGTGAGGCTGTGCTCAGCAGGAAGCTGCACCAAAGCCATAGACGGCCTGTTGCGGATTACGTCTCAAACACCTGTCGCATTCAATTGGGAGAGCTTTGATGCAAATTCAATCAGCGTCTACGAGATTGTACACTCAGTGTGGTTGTCACCCACATGCATCTCGAGCTCTCTCTCTCCTGCTACCCCAACTGCTAAAATATTTAAACTGAACTAAACCATATAGCTACCGTGAGCGATTGCAGGTCTTCGCCAACAATCCTGTACTAAACTTGCGAGGTGCTTCAGAACCCCGCCTAAGTGGGCAAGCAGCTTCTGGCAAGGAGGCCAACAAAGGCTGATTCAACAAGCCTCACCAAAAATTGTTTGCTCTATATATATATATCAGTCAGAAAGCGCCTATAGAAGCTGATTACGCCTCAGCTGGCCAGGCTGGCCATCGCCAAATTAACCTGCATCATTGGAGGTCTGGGGTGTCTTACCTCTCCTTTGTTGCTATCTGCACCCCTTCATAGTGAATCTCGGCAAAGAAGACCACATGAATGGGGTTGCCGAATTCTGGCTCAATCTGAACCCAGGCCCTCTTCACATTGTCCGTAAGTAGGCGGATCTCCCTTTGATAGTGGTGGGCCAAAGCGTGCAAAGTGATGTTGTCACCCCAATCTCCCTCTGACATGCCCTTGACATACTGGTCAAATTCACGCTCCACATCATCATCTGGAATCTTCTCAGCTAGCAGGGCGGGAGAGCTGTGACGCCTTACTACCAGGCTCGATTTGTATTCATCGCGGTGCTGCATGATCCAACGTACTGCATGTCCTCTTACGGTCTCATGGTCCTCGCCCACTGCAAATCCAACGGAATGGAACTGGCAGTGCCCATCTGCCGGGGATTTGTGCAACGTCCAACCCTTGGCTTGCAGGATGCACTTTTGGAGCTGCGAGGGTTCTATCTGATTGCCGTAGCATCGTGGCAAACCAAGCTGCTGCTGCTCCACATAGTCGCGGAACTGCTGCACAAACCTCTCACAAACGTCGCTCTGCACATCGATCAACAAATGTAAACACAGCATAAACACAGCGCTGACACAGTATAAACACAACATTCTCGCCTGCATCTGGCTTCAGGCGTCACGCAGGAGCTCAGCAATGGCTCAAAAGCTTCGCCCATGCCGTGGTCCTCGTCCCACACCAAAACCAAGCGCTCCAGGTCATCATGCTGAATTCTCACTCCTTGGCTGTTGAATCGTCGGTGTACTTCTGTCGTACCTTTTGTTTGAATGAGGTTTTGCACGCGACGTACACTTTGCTTCTGCGGTTGGTAGCTGTAGGTCCTTCGTGCTAATAACACGGAGCTGCTCGCTTTGCAAGAGCCATGATCAAAACAAAATGAGATGGGCCACACCATATTTCGGAGCTGCTGGGTGCCTCTTAGTGTCAAAGCTAACTGCTCAATACTGACCTATGCCTCTGTCTGTCGGGCCGTTGTTTCCATGGCACGGCTTTTTCTTGGTACCGGGCACTGGCGTTTGCACCTCCAGCACATCATTTGTAAGAGCGATCTTTCTTGAGTCTCAACTCCCCGTCACCTAAACAGCTGCCAGGTCATGATTGTTCCGGGACAGCTGCATTGCAAAATGTCGTCAAGGCTCTGCTTGATGAAAGATAGACTGATTATGCTATTGCCACCGCTACTACCACTCCTCCTCCTACTACTGCTACTACTGCTTCTACTGCTATGATGACAATGACGATGAAAGCAGCGACGACGACGACGACAACTACTACTACTCCTCCTCCTACTACTAGTACCACCACCACCACTACTCACTACTCCTGCTGCAAGGGCTAGGACAGGAAGAGCCGTGGACTCACGTGGGGTCAATTGCCTGACTTGGAAACAGCAACTGCATCATGGCGTCACCATTCGCTGAGACGACAGCTCCTTCAAAGGCCAAGGAAGTCTGCCAGCACAAATGTTAGCACACGGCTCGAACCAATTGCCAACTCTCACATTTCATCAAGAACGCATACCGCCTAGCGCTGTTAATCTTACAGTGGGGAGCACATGCGAGAAATCTGCCCTCACATATGATTCATGGCAGATTTCTGGCCGGAACAATGCACTGATCCAAGAGGGCGTGTATGAGTGTCTGCGTGCTCAAGGCTGGAAAAGTCTCACAACCTTTCTACAGTTCTGAGCTATATACATGAGGCACATGCCGTGCCTGGTAGGGGTAGGAATTTGAAGAGAATTGCCGCCACAGCCAGAGGAGAAATAAACAACAGGTAAAGACTCCATGTAGACCACCGACATCCGTGTGCTGCACATGTGCTTTAACCAAGCGAGGATGGCCATCTCTCTCACATCATTGACCTGTCAGTTGTGAATTGCCTCCAAAAGTGGGTGGTGGATGACACCAAGACGAGGTGCTACCCGGACGGCATGTATAATTTGGATTATACAAGATATGCATCAGCAAGGCAGCCGCGGAAACGTATGTCCAGCAAGGGAATTCGCCTAAAGCCAGTGAATCTAATATACATGGACCCTTTCCAGAGCCATGTCCCAAAGACACACACACACCTAGCAAAAACCAGAAAGGGCAACAGCTGAAGATGTGTTCGCCCATCGCGGAAATTGGAAGAGTACAGCCAGAACGTTTGGCGGCCAGGCCAAACCTGTGTAACTAATGGCTATGCTACCACGCTTCCGGCCGCTTGGCTTGTAGAACTTGGGTATGCGCTGCCTGTTCGTCGTCGACTATCAACGAACTTCTGAAGCACCGTGCGCATGAAATCGGAGCCTTAGCTTTGGAGCGACACGATGAGGCAATCTCAATCAATCAACAAGTTGCATCAATCGGTACCATGAAAGCCGAAAAATCCCCGCCTCCAAGACTGTCAGGCTTGCTTGTGACACCCTGCAATACGGCCAAGCACTGTGCGTCATGGATTATGGATTGTTGGCTTTGGAGCTTTGGTTCATTTCATTCATGGACTAGTGAAAGGCAAACCTAGTGGAACAGTTCACTGTGTTTGACCCGCGGCCGGCCTGCTCTTGACGCTGGGCCGCTGTGTTGCGGCCTGCTGCAGCCTGCATCGCAGAAGTAGGCTGACCAAAGGTCCAGCGCTCGCGGGGTGAGAAGCGAGAGGCCTCTCTATTCTATTCTATTCTATTCTATTCATTATGTTGGCCGCTCCACCCCCGAGAGGTAGGGTTGCGAACGCTGCTCTGAGGCTGGACAGCGACAAGACCCCACCTTCTTCACCGAAGCAGTGGCGCTCTTCTGTTGCTCATCTTCTTCGTCTGATTCAAGGCCCTGCTCCTCAGGAGTGACATTCCGAGTGAGCGTTTGTTCGTGCGCCACGTTCATAGTACTCTCAGGCTTTGTGCTGCAAACATGGGGAAGCCAAAAATGTGGTTCATGAAGCCTGCATTGTGTACCATCTACTCTGGAACTACTGCACCTTCCCTGGCAATTGAATTCTGATTATTAAAAAAAGCCCCTCCGGTTGGGATGAGTCCTTGTTCTGAGCGCTGAATCTTCTTGCCTTTCGAGGGCCTGCCCCACGACCAGCCTGTGGTGGTCGCCAGCCAGACTGAACCAAGCCCTTGGCCATGCCGCCGGCTACGGCTGGGTCAGTAGACGCAACCAATGCAGGCTTGGGAGGGACCAGGTAGGGCTCACGGATCTGAGACCACACAGAGCGATAAAGCTTCAGGGCTGCCATCACGTGCCCCTTGTTCCAATCATTCCAGTACTCCAGTTCAAGTGGGACTGGCACCTCGAGGAGCTCTTCACCTTCTTCCACTTTGCCGCGAACTTCATCAAGTTCGTCCAAGACGTCCATTTCGGTGACCAGCGTGCAAAGTCTTGGAGCTTCTTGAGGCTTCTCAAGGTCAGGGATGGCCAGTGGCAAATCGCTTGCCAAGTAAACAGTTCGTGCGACCAAGCGGCATACCACAGCAAGGATTTGTGGACACGTCCCCTTGAGCTTCTCCAAGACATCTCCCAAAGAATTTGGAAGTTCTAAGGATGCTGTGTACTCATCTCCGGTATCTAGAGTCTTAATGCTCACACCCCTGGTCATTGCAAGCATATCTCTTGAAAGCAAATGAAGAGCCACAAGTGCATTGAGCGGAACCGTAGCGATGTCTGGCAGGTCTGCCTTGGTCGTGGGATGGAGAAAAAATGGAATGCAACGACTCAGCCCCCGCTCAACGGCAAGGTTTACCCAAAACAGCAGCTTGGAAAATGCTGATGGTTGGGCGTTCGTAGCCGGCATCTCTCTATGAATGTGCTTCAGCTGTGTTCTAGCAAATGTTGCAATGCAGAAAAGCAAACTAACCCTGTAGTCATCGTCGTCGCCTGTGTTTCACACTGTGCGGGTTGGAAACTCAAACAAGAACAGTGGCATCGGAACGCAAGGCACGG